ACAGGAGCGCTCTTGTTTACCCGGTGCCTCTGCAGTTTCAACTCATGGTAAAATGGGACACACTCACAGTATAAATTGGCCTTTTGGAGTTCCCGTTTGCTGTATGTTTAATCTTATGTGATGCATAAGCACAACAAGCACAAATGTCCAGACGATCTGCAGGGGTTGATTTTGGAAAAGCCTTCAGATGCATCAGGAAGCTTCAGGTGATCTTACTGACTGGTGCCTGCAGAGAAGTGCACTGCCACACCTACACACACACACACATACACATACGGTGGACAGACAGCAGACAGAAACACTGGGAGGAGAAAATGCAAGAAACACTTGGAACTGGGAGGGGAGCAAAGCCAGATCAAAACAGTTCAGTGTTCTGGAAGAAATTTTCCGATTTGTTTTCTACACAAAACTTTTACGTGATAGATCCATTTGGAGCACTTCAAGGCTTGGATTAACATGACCCTGGTTCATCATCAGTACAAAAGATGGACAACTGTTACATGTATGTGGACATAAAACTGAAGTTAAGAGAAGTCAACTACAACTTCACTTAGAAACATCCAAACACCGGGCTTAAAATAGCCCAGCTAATGGCCAGCTGAATCTAAAGATTAAACTTTGTGTACACCTGATAACACTTTCAATCATTTCCGTTCTAGATCATTCTTTGAATGAATTCAGCAACTGTTGTTCCTGTTTGAAACAATAAAACGTTCTGAATTTACCATGGCCTCTTCTCCATAGCAACATTGACTAAAGGTCATGGGTATTGTGGAGCCGTTCGCCATGCCAAACTGACATCATTTCTCAAAACTTAAATTGAAATACTTCACAACCCTAAAGGGTCTGTTTAAGATGGATAGGAAGATGTGTAATTGGTCTAAAAGGTGAATACTAGCAATATATGGTACATATATGGACAAGTATAAAGTGTGTATGATGACACAGGGAAGTTGTCAGAGACAGTCTAGGCCACTAGCAGTTACACAGACTTTACTAAGAAGAAAGTGTCATGAAAGTTCACCTGCATCACACATGATGATGATGACTTTTATTTTTGTGACACGCACACGAAGGTGCCAACCCTCATGGGTTTACAAGATACCATAAGTACAGTTGCAGTGGTCAAACATGTTATTTCCTTCCCAAATGACTGGTTAAAAATGATGGTTGTTCTACAGCTCGGTCTTAAACTAAATATTCTGCTTTCTCTCCCATGCTTGTCAAATAAAATCGGATACAAAAAAGATGGCATTCTTTAAGTATAACAAAATATAATCAGAATCATCGAGCCGAAACAATCACTATAAACGGAGAACATTTAACGAAGGGCGTCACTTTGTGTTAAAAAGTGGTGGGGACATTTAAGGGCTCATATGAGGGGTGTGACAAAACACTTAGGCCACAAAATATGAGAAAGCACAATATTGGAGTCTCGAGAACAACATAACAAGATACTCCAATGCTATTTATAAGAAATACTCATTGATGAAAAAGGCAATTTGATTGAGGGGTTTTGGGGTCCTCCCTCAGAAGATTTTGAACATTAAACTCTTGATTTCCTGCATTCTAGAGACATTTTGTGCACCAATTTATGGTGGAAATTTATATGAATGGAAACAAAATTCATGTGGCTGGTTCATTCATTATATAAAAATATTATTGAACATAATGCAGTAATCATTAGCTTGTTTTTTTAGCCTAAGTTACTTTTTAAGCCAAGGCAGATTTGTTTCTTCTGTATTTACATTGCATTTGATATTTTCCTATTGTACAAGTAAACCTTTCTCATAGAATTTTTATTTGCAATTTAACATTTCTAGTTGCAAGCTAATTTTCAGAAAACTTTTAGCAAATGTTTTTAAAAAGTGGTGCGGACAAAATCAGCCATTTCAAAAAGTGGTGCGGACATGTCCCCAGCGTCCCCAGTGTAAATGACACCTATGCTTTTAACTAAAAAGTACATCCTGATGCATAGTATTACAACTTATATGTTGACGGAAACCCTAGAAACTTAATCGAACACAGGACACAGCTATAGAGTTGTGTTTGGTGTGTATGGAATCCCAGATGACCACATTGTTTAACTTTATTCAGTACAGCTCCCAGTGCTATGTCCGCTGACTGCTAGAGCCAAAATATTTATATGACAGCACAACTTAACCGAAATTAAAAGCAACTGAACTTCCGTCTAATGATTTTTTTGTCTATGATGTACAATTTGTGTTTTGTCTTGATTTATTACTAGTCTCCATATTTTCGTTATAATCTGTAGAATGTTTTCAATCCACAAATAATAATAATTCCACAATCTGATCAACAACTTTAATTGAAGCTAGAAGCATTAATTTGTCTCATTTTCCCCCTTTCCATTCATCTCTTAAGAAGGATATTGATCATTCTGTACCTGTATATTTATCTCTGGCAAGTAGAGTAAACACTATAAAGATGAACATACTGATCAAGATTCTTTTTATGTTCCAATGTTTCTTCTTGACATTGGTCATTTACCTAGATAGAAAGCTTTCTTTCTTTATTTGAAATTAAACAATTCACATGTATGCAAAGCTATACTACATCTAGACTTCATCAGCAATGAGGACTTTGAATATCAAACTTTCAGTTCTTGTCAGGATCTGGTCTGTATGTCATTTTGTTTTGTCTATGTGTCTGCTTGTTTCCGTTTTATTTTGGTAATGGTCTGTGTTAGCTGTGCATCTTGTGGTTGTTTCTGGTCTTCCTGAGAACCTAATGTGTCCCACCTGTGAGTGACCTCTCTGTTTGCTGTGTAGGTTTGTCTGTTCTTATATTGTCCAGGTGTTCCCTTAATGTTTGCAGATCCGTTTGTCTGTCATACTGCATGCTGTTTGTAGTCGAGTCGTGTGAATCTGTGTGCCATCCCTGTCCATTTTATCACCGTTCTGTGGAGTCTGGACATTGTTTCTGTTCACCTGTCTATGTTGCACTATACACTTGCTTACTGTAGATTTAGGAGTTTGCTTCTCTCCTGACAGTTCAACAAATATTATTGTTATTTCTTTTCTTTGTGGATTTTGGACTTTTAGTTGCCTTTTCTTTCCCTTTTGGGATTACTTGGTTTTGTGGACAGCTTTTGGAGGATTACGAAAGATTGTAATTCTGAGTTAAGTCTTTGGTATATACCGTATAGGTGTAACTAGGAGCATTGGAAATGAAGCATTGGAAAGATCCCTCGTGATTGTTTCCATGCAGTCAGTTCGTATTATTATTTATTCATTAAAGTATGATTACTTTTCGTAATTTGTACATTCATGTTTAAGTATTTACTCATTTTCCTTGCATAGTTGCATACTTTCTCACATGGTCCTTCCTGCTCTCGCTCTCTCTGCCCCTCCTATCTTCCTCTTTGCATTAATAATCACACACAAACTTATTGTATGCAGCTAGAAAATGACGAATAACCTGTTAGGACGTAAAGAAATGTTAGAGGAGGTTGGGGAGATTTCACATTTGAAAACAGTACATCAATACACCACTGGTAATGTGAACTGCAATGAATGTGTAACTGACTTAGCATCTACAGTATGTGGTTTTGACCACCTGGTCTCGCCGGTTTCTTGCGCTCTCTCTAGCGGTTTTGCTGAGAAGAAAAAGTGTGTATCCATCTATTGAAAAACAGATATTTCTTCAGGGTCAAATGAAATTGAAAAGGGGCTGTAGCATAGCCATTTGCCTTCAAATTGCAAATTCATGCAGCTTAAACGGAATAGAAAACAGAGAAACGTGCAAGGTTCCAACTCTTAAGTGTCCATTAATGTAGTGTAAATGTACCATAAGGCCCAATTCCATCAGAATAAGAAACATTCTGACTAAGTAAAACAATAAAGGTGGTTAGCTCATTATCTTGCAAGTGTGCAATGCAAGCAGACTAGCTCAGAGAGCTAACATTAGCGAACATTTCTGAGCTACCTACAGTAGCAGCTATTCACACCATGAAACACCATTGATTTTGCTATAACTCTATGAGCCAAACAAACAACTTTAATTAACTTTAACAGTACCCACACAAGGAAGTGTAAAACTGTTGATTTTCATTTTACCTAGCATTTAAGCCCTCAGACAAGTTTGCAAAGTCTTTTAATTTGTAAATCAGGAGGGTGCTGTTCAGGCAGGTCAAGGGGAGAGAAATAGTCAGAGAACCCATCAAAAACCCACAGTACCTAGGCGCAGCAAGTGCTAGCTGTTAAAACTAGACTAAACTAAACCGACATCACAAACAAAGCATAATCTATTTGCATTTATTGATCAGAGCATTCACAATAATCAACTCCTCTCTCTGTCTGGTTGACTGTCCCTTCACTTCCCTGTCATTTGCCTCTTGTCTGTGGATCACTGCAACAAAAAGACTTATTTCATAATTTCACAGCAGCACTGCTTAGCTGTGGGCCTTACAGTAATCATATGCCAAAATATTTAGACACCAAAAAGCATTAAACCACTTGCCAGCATACCGTGCATGTACCGTGATATGTGGGGCGTGCAGACACCTGCAGGATCTCAGACAAATCAAGCCCTGAATTTGACCTTAGAGTGTTGAAAATGATTTCAGATAATAATGATAATTACTTTTTTCTAGATAAGTTGTATATTGGGATGGCTTTTTGAAGATTTAGGGATAGATTTAACAAAGCTCTTGTGTCACTGTGCACTGTCAAAACAAGTCTGAAACGACTCACACAACTTTATACTCATCCATTTCGTCAATTTCTATTCTAATATATTTGTGTGTGTGCTTGACCACTGTATTGTTCCAGTCTTTGGGGATGGAAAGTCCCTATGTCTCTTCTCACGTCCTGTGTGTCCGAGTGTATGAGGCATATGTGTGAAGTGGTGTGGGTTGTGTCCCACAGCCAATCATATTCTAGCTCTGTGGAAGCAGGAAGGAACATGCTTCAGCCGGTCGACCAATAAGAAGCTGTTCTGGAGGAGGAGGCCCCTTCAGGAAACAACTGGCGGAGTATCAGGGGTTCAGACCTCCAACAGACTTCCTGAGCAACACGACTGATAGTTCTATCTTCCCATCTATGCCTGTCTTTAATTAGTTTTTCTTTTATTTATTTATTCTTCCATCTCTTCTTTCATTCATCTGTATTCTTGTCTTACAAATCCAACCACTCTCCTAATACTCTTGAGTCTCTATTCAGTCTGCCCTTGGTCCATCTTGCCATACATCTGTCCACCGTCGCTCCACGCGGTTGAAAATTATGGTGGTATATTGTGTTGTACTGCCGCTGTCATGTCCGCCGACATGTCCGCTCCATCCGTGAGGAAGAAGAAGTCGTTTGCGCGGACCTCCAAGCCAAGTGTCAGGATGTGTATTCGGGAACAGAGGGATGTCATGTAAGTTATCTTCATTCTTCATGAGCCTGGGTTTGTCTTGTGCCTGATGTCCACTTTTTGTAACTTAATGTATGGATGCATTTCTAGATAAGTTGACTGGAGGTTGTCCTCACCTGCATTGGTTTGGTGACCAGTTCTGAAGCTGTTTCGGGGTGTAAAGGATATATTTTGCAGGTTGGTTTCTGTCTTTATCTGGCATACCTTCTGGTTTCAGATATCTGGCATTTAGTGGTCCTTTGTGTCAACTTGGGATTCATGTGTTCTTTGGTGCAAGGCGGTGCAAAACACTCAGCTGGAGGTTTATGTCATCTGCATCGGTTTTTGTTGGGTTTGGTAATATTCCTTCCCCATTACAAGATCAGTAAAGCAACTGAAGGATTCCCCTTTAACTTTGTCTTCGCCTGTTGATTGGAGTGTGAAAGCTCCTAGTGTCTGTTGGAGAATCTCCTCATTGAAGTCATTTTTTAGTCACATTTTTATTCACATTTGTTGTTGAATTTTTTTGCTTATCCAGTTAACCCAAAATGGTTCATTTGATGGCCCCTGTTTCCATCTTGGCACCTTTCAGTCTACAGTATTGAGAACAAGTTTAGCCTGTCACAAAGTCTTGCTTAAACAGCATTTTCTCACGACACATTTGACAGGGTCGCATTTTCACAGCTTTCAATGGATGTGAAACTCGAAATAGAACTGTCCATTTCAAGCAGACTGAAGAGCAAAGCTTACTCTGCAGCTGCAGGTGCAGCAGCAGCGACACATACTGTACTTTCTACCGTCAGTCCGTCTCTATGCGGTGAAGAAGTATGACTGTAAACACTACCATGACACTGTAAAGAAACTACAGTTTTTTCAATTTGAATCAGTTGGCGGCTCAATCCCCATCTCCTCCACTCTGCATGTGAAAGAGTCCTTGGGCAAGACACTAAGCCCCAAATTGCTTTGATTTTCAGCTGATGAGCAGGTTGCACCTTGCATGATAGCCTCTGTCATCGGTGTGTGAATGTGTGTGAATGTGATATGTATTGTAAAGCGCTTTGAGTGGTCAGAAGACTACGCAAGGCTCTATACAGCTACAATCCATTTCCAAGATAAAATGACATGATTAATGGGGTGGGAACGAGGACAAACAAATGTTCTTTTACAGAAGTATCTCAAAAGTTTTTAATACAGTTTTGAACCTCAAATTGTTATTTATATGAAACCTCAGAGGTTTATAAGGGAGCTGCTTACAGCTATTGACTTGGGAAATGTGACAAGTAGACACTGTTTTTGTAAGGGGTCATAAGCCAAAAGGGTTGGGAACCACTGGTTTGAAATTTGTTGCATTTGATAAGTTTATCACAGGTTTTCAATTTGAAAATCTTAATCTGAGTAACGAGTAACTATAGCTGTCCAATAAATTTAGTACAACTTTCCCCTCTGAAATGTAGTGGAGTACAATTGTAAAGTAGCATATCATTGCAGTACTAAAGTAAAGTACAAGAGCCTCAAAATGTAACTTAAGTTACTCTCCACCATAGCAGCAGATTATCTCAAAGAAAACTATTGGAGAGGGAAAATCACAGTGTGGGTGGTTCACAGGTTTCTTTCCCACAAGAGTCAAAGGTTTAGTCATTTCAAGCAGACAGCTGACACCTGTGAGACCACGAACATTTTTCTGAGGGTCAGTTTTTGGTTATTTATTATTTTATTATAATAAATCACTGATCTGTTTGGGTGTATTTCACCACAGAGACACGTAGATTTTATTTTCCAGTGACAATAGGAAGTGATTGTGCTCCAGTCAAGTCAGCTGTCAGTTGTTGCCACGGTTATTCCTCAGCAAGGCTCGTGTCAGAGACAGAGAAGAGAAAAGGCAACATTTACAGGAAATGTGTGTCGACCCAGTGTTGGGGGGAGGGAGGGTGGGCATGTGGTCTCAAAGCAAAATCTCAACGCGATCTCTCTCTCTCTCTCTCTCTCTCTCTCTCTCTTCCTGCCTCTCTAATCTCTTGTGGTTTTTACTTCAGAAAGGAAACACAGCTATAGTACAATTTTTAATCTTCGAATAGTCACAGTAGAAGACCTGTACTGTCTGTGTGTGTGGGTGTGTGTGTGTGTGTGTGTGTGTTAGTCTGAGAGGAATCCTTCCTGTAGCCGTTGGAACTGTGACGGCTGCGCAGTTCCTGTGGATGTCATTGCCATATATGGACAAAGGAAGTGACAATGTGTAGGAGAAGCCACAGGTAGAGAAAGAGGACCTGGTTTTATATTTCAGTTTTCTATGAGCCCACTGCTCCAGGTGTGTGTGTGTGTGTGTGTGTGTCTGTAAAGTAAAAGCTGACTTTCTCTTCTGCTTTTCTTTTTTTTTTGAGAAGGAACCAAATAATTCCACACACAGTCGGCCACTCACTTTATTAATGGTCCATCAGGTAAAATTCATTTAATAAAACAGCACCAGCACCATACTGTTTAAATCTCATGCAGGAAGATTGCACCGATGGTATCAGCAGTACCAAGCATTCATACAAACTAAACGTATTTCCTCACCAAGTCCAAATTTACTTGCAACAAATAGATGCACAGCAGGGATGCAACTTTGTGTGATAGAAAACACTTTGAAATTATTTTTATATGTTTCAAAATGTTGCTGTCAGAAATGAAATCCACGTCTGTTTAATGTTTCTCCACCTAAACAGTCCATATCTTACTTTATGAATTATCTGAGTCATCACCGCAACCTCCGGTCACATGGAACAAGAGCTGTCAAATAAAGGTAAATGACAGGAACAGGAACAGTCTTTTTGCTCTTTCACAACAAGGATTTTGTGGCCCTGTACACAAATCAAAACATTATGATTCCTCCTCAAACACACTGCCTATCAGTGAAACACGTCATTGCCTCCAGTTCTTTTGTTAAGAAGCAAGAAAAGCTAAACATTGCCATTCGTTCTAGAGGTTGGAGACTCGACTGTGACCCTGTTGTGTGAAAAGAAGAGGAAGTTGAACATAAAAAGGGTACAGTTTTGATTTGGATGTGCATCGTTGTGTGAAATTGACACAAAAGCACTTTTCACATTTTTAAATCAGAATTTCAGTTTGGACATGCTTATTAATGTCACCGGATGAACCAAGATGATACTATACCAGAGAAAAATCCACTATGTCCAATACATTATTATACATATTATTTTGCTAAAGAACTAAGCGAATCAACCAGAGTAACAAAATCTTATGAAAACAGCTAAATGCTAACATCAGAATGCTAACATGCTCCCAATGACAATGCTAACATGCTAATATTTAAAACAGACAGTCAGTTAGCATTAAACACAAAGTACAGCTGAGGCTGATGACAATAACAATATTTCTTCAAGTGTTTCAAGTCATAAAGCATAGTATTTTGCAAATTAAAATGTTGACCTGATGCTGGCGCTAGATGAAAAGTCAGAGGAGCCCTAAAGTTATTACATTTCATCCTGAGGCGAACATCTCGTGGCAATCCGTCTGATAGTTGTCCTCAGGCAACTACAAATGTTGATATCATAGTGTTGCCATGAATGTCTGTACAAGCTTTTATGGTAATTCACCAAATAGTTATAACAATGCTATCATTGCTAATAACTCAGAAGTGGCTCAAAATCTCATAGTGTGAAAGTCCATAATCAAAAATCACATGTGTAAATATTGTGTTTGTAGCGTATGCATCCAAAATGCTTCTTGTCTTTTCCTGGGGCAAGTCCAGATCCATTCCCCCAGGTGAAAGGGAGACTTTGTCAATACCAGGAGAAATTCCAAGTATTTAAAAAAAATTTCTAATGCTTTTCCTTCAGTGTCATCGGTGTGCACACATTCTGTTCAGCTTCTTTTAATCATTCATCTGGACCAATAAACCAAAGGAGAAGAGGAAACACTCAAGAGTTCACATAAACCTCTCTGTACTAACCTTCAGTTTCATACCCACATATTGTAGTTGCAGTGAAAATGTGAAGCTGAGACGGTGAAGGAACCACTGTGGTCGAAACAGGAAGCGTGTCTTAAGTAAAAATGCAGGTCTGTGTGACAGTATCTGCATCCTAAGCAGGACAGACATTTATCTGCACCAGCTGCAGCTCGTACAGTGGTTGTAAGACCTCGTCATCTGCTCAGGGGTTGCGTGTCTTGCGGAGGCGGTGGGAACTTGATGATCGGATCTGAGCCTGAAACTCAAACTTTGGTCACTGCAGCGAGGGCATTAGTTAGCCACAAGCATGTTTGTAGCAGACACCTAGCAGCCAGTGAAATCTGTGCCACACCATCATAGATGCTGTGGTGGCGTGTATGCACGAACGCTTACATTTATTTTGGCCCAAATAATCATACAAACAATTACTCAGTGCTACAGAAAAACCCAACAGAACAGTACAGGTGGACACAATGCAACAACCATGACAGTAAGGAGAGCCTGTGCTGTCTGGGTCCAAGCTTTCAGCCATATCACAAAGTCATCATCAGAGGATGCTGTTTGTGCCATTGTCACGGTGACAGGCATGTTTACTAGGGGTGGGAATCACCAGGGGGATATGATAGTATCTCGGTATTTATGTTGCGATTCGATTTTATTGCGATTTTGTAAATATATTGAGATATGTTGCAATTTATTACCTTTTACCAACTTCCAATTAGGTCCCTAAAGTCAAACTTTGTCAACATCTGTTTATCTAAAAAGATACATTTCTCTGTTTGTTCATATCACTTTTTCAGTCCTCTACATGGTCCTGTTAAGTTTTCTAGTGGACTAAAAAAGCAGATTTTATTATTCTAGTACCAAAAAGTTAAAACTCCCATCTGCAATTTATATAATAAAATATCGATACTTGGCATCCGTGTATCGCTACAGTATTGCCATGGCAAATATCACGATACTATGCTTTCCCCCACCCCTGATGTTTACTGGTGATGTATCTCATGGTTGCATGCTTCATTTGTTAAAAACCATTACCTCATGGTTACTGAGACAACTGTCAGACCATCATAGGCCC